AAGGAAAGCCTCAAACTTGTCTGCACAGCAGAACAGCCATTATTGTGTCCAACACAATCTGTTCCCGCGTCTGCTCTATTATAGTGTCATCCGACTGTGAACAAACCATCGTCAATATCAACTGGGGAAAGAAGTTATATCCAGTCGATATATTTTCAAATGTAAATTCTCATAAACTGCAGGCAACCGTGTGTTTGTTTAAGGTAAAGAATCGCGCGACAACCGTTTCTGGGGCCATGTGAAAATTCGATAAATTCATTTCCTAGTTTAAAACTGGTCACATATCTCGTGAGTGATGACTGAATGATACTTCACGTGTTGTTAACGTAAGTAATGTCTGGCGCGCCCTGACAAAAGTTCCAGTTTACAAATATAATGGTAAACGCAATTTTATACCACAGATTGTTCTGTACAGATAGTTTCATCAACAAATAATTCAGTGATTCATCAGAATATTTACCCAGAAGCGAATTATGATCAGTTTCAAATGAAACATTTGACATTTATTCATCTCATCCCCATAGGGAAGTGAAGTTTAAATTACATTTTGTATCCACATTTCAGGCTACGAGCGATTTATAAATGACGATATTAAGTCTATAGGAGCATGGACAATGTTTCAGTACTGGAAAAGTTATTACGAGCAGTGTAAAAACTCTGTTAATGGTTTGTAATTATATAATGTTTATCTGAAAAAATCTAACAGTTCTTCTAAAGTACCTATCAAAAGTCTATTTCCTTCAAGAAACTTCATCTAGATTTCATTTACATTGCATCGATTAGGATGCCCAAACAATTTCTGGTTGTATTGAATTGGTAAAATGATTGTATGTGCTGCATGACTGGTGCCACATTTGCTGAAATCTTCTTGTAGTCAAGAAAAACGAAGACTTCATAACACGATTTTGTTGTGCATATAAAACCAAAGACGGCTTATAATAACTTTTCAATAAAGGCAAATTGTATATTGAATATTCACCTAATTCTGATTTCTGCTTAGGGTTTGTAAAATTATGTTAACTGTCATGAATGCAGCATTACACTGATATAAACAGACCTGGAGTACGTCTAAGGCGCCTGTGCAGTGTTGCATCCACTGGGCAAGCCAGAAATCTATAATCGTGGGTTCGAATCCCGTTTCGCCCCGATTATGTTTCTAGGTTTGTCAGCACCATACTCGTAGACATGGGTGTCACTTCTGGCTTTCCTTACACACCCAGCAGAAACACACAGCAGACACATCCAGCTGACGTATCCAGCTGACACATCCAGCTGACACACATTCAGCAGACACATCCAGCTGACACACATTCAGCAGACACATCCAGTAGACACACCGTGCTATAACTAGAAGACTGTTTAAAGCGTTGTAAAATTAAACTACTCACTCGTGATCACCTTAAGTACGATAATTCAGGAATAAATATATCTGCTGAGTATGCACATTTTTCTTTAATTTGAAACATAATAGTGTTTTTCTGTTGCTTCAAGACTGTTTATTTCTGTAAGTAAAACGAATTTGTTCCAGCATTGTCTTGAAACATTTTTATGCTTGCAAACACGTGCCAACCATCCCCATCAAATGCTACTTCATAGTGTCACATACTCTTTCATGATAATATCATTACACAAGCGAAGGGAACGGGCTGCATATAAATTATATTCTCAGCCTCCTCAGGGGTGTACAGTACGAGCTGTTTGAATATGTGAGGCACCACATCAACACTACACCTTCTCCAACCGGGTAGCCATTTACAACACATGGACACATTTCAAACCATGTCACAAGGAGCAACTACACTTCAATCTTGACTGTGTTTCAGTGCTTAGCAGGAGCCCCTTCTGGGATTCAGGGCCAGAGAACATCCTCGGTAGCCCTTGCTTGTTGCAAGAGCTATTTAACAAAGATCGGAGGGTTACGGTGTGCCGACCTGGCTGTATGTATGTCTTTGTGCTCCGAGGGCGTAGACATTCATTGTCTGGTTTCCCTGCCCAAGGCGTTCGTTATAGCTTGACTATTGCTGAATGCGGTGAAAAATACATTTACTTACTCTCCCCAACCCGGAAAATGATTGTTGCTGTACCACATAGGATACCATCTATATTCCTATGTCATCGAGACATTATTAGACTGATTTGTATGTCTGGTCTCTATTGAGTTGTTATTTTCCACTGATAGGAGGTGACCCCGTAGAAATCTGGTAGATATGTTTACGGAGTTATACTGAGGCATACATTGATGACCCGCAGAATACTGGCATGGGTGTCTACTGAGGCATACATTGATGACCTGCAGATAACTGGCATGAGTGTTTATTGAGGCGTACATTGGTGACCTGCAGAATACTTGCATGGGTGTTTACTGAGGCATACATTGGTGACCTGCAGAATACTGGCATGGGTGTTTATTGAGGCATACATTGGTGACCTGCAGAATACTGGCATGGGTGTTTATTGAGGCATACATTGGTGACCTGCAGAATACTGACATGGGTGTTAACTGAAGCATACATTAATGACCTGCAGAATACTGACATGGGTGTTTCCTGAAGCCTACATTGATGGATCACAGAATACTGGCATGTGTGTCTATTGAGGCGTACATTGGTGGTATGGTTGTTTACTGAGGCATACATTGATCACCCGCAGAATAATCGCATGGATGTTTACTGAGGCATACATTGATTGCCTTCAGAATACTGGCATGGGTGTTTACTGAGGCATACATTGATGACTTGCAGAATACTCGCATGGATGTTTACTGAGGCATACATTGATGGCCTGCAGAATACTGGAAAGGGTGTTTACTGAGGCATACATTGATGACTTGCAGAATACTCGCTTGGATCTTAACTGAAGCATACATTGATGACCTGCAGAATACTGACATGGGTGTTTCCTGAAGCATACATTGATGGATCACAGAATACTTGCATGGGTGTTTATTGAGGCGTACATTGGTGACCTACAGAATACTGGCATGGGTGTCAACTGAGGGTATACATTGATGGCCTGCAGAATACTGGTATGGGTGATTACTGAGGCATACATTGATGGCCAGCAGAATACTGGCATGGGTGTCAACTGAGGCATACATTGGTGACCTGCAGAATACTGACATGGGTGTTAACTGAAGCATACATTGATGGATCACATAATACTGGTATGGGTGTTTATTGAGGCGTACATTGGTGACCTGCAGAATACTGGCATGGGTGGTCCCTGAAGCATACATTGATGGATCACAGAATACTGGCATGGGTGTTTATTGAGGCGTTCATTGGTGACCTGCAGAATACTGGCATGGGTGTCAACTGAGGGTATATATTGATTGCCTGCAGAATACTGGTATGGGTGTTTACTGAGGCATACATTGATCACCCGCAGAAAAATCGCATGGATGTTTACTGAGGCATACATTGATCACCCGCAGAAAACTGGCATGGGTGTTTACTGAGGCATACATTGATGACCCGCAGAAAATTCGCATGGATGTTTATTGAGGCATACATTGATGGCTTGCAGGAAGCTGACATGGGTGTTTACTGAGGTATACATTGATGGCTTGCAGAATACTGGCATGGGTGTTTACTGAGGAATACCTTGATGGCTTGCAGAATACTGGCATGGGTGTTTACTGAGGCATACATTGATGGCCTGCAGAATACTGGCATGTATGTTTACTGAGGCATACATTGATGACCCGCAGAATACTCGCATGGATGTTTACTGAGGCATACATTGATGGCCAGCAGAATACTGACATGGGTGTTTACTGAGGCATACATTGATGACTTGCAGAATACTGGCTTGGATCTTAACTAAGGCATACATTGATGGCCTGCAGAATATTGACTTGGATGTCTACTGAGGCATACATTGAAGATCCACATAATACTGGCTTGGATGCTTACTGAGGCATACATTGATGGATCACAGAATACTGTGAGTGAGTGAGTGAGTACAATATAGCAATATTCCAATATGCTTGAAGTAAGTAATTACTATTACATGTGTGGACAAGAAGTAATTTAATTTTACAAACAATTCGAATCCTAATTATTGATTAGACCCGGTATAACTAAACATTCATGTTTAAATGCAGACATCAAATTAAATATGTTTGAATGCGAAACGTATTAAATACAACATCGTCGCTTTCATAATGTAACAAGTAATGCCTGATGTCAAACTGACCTTGTTTTGACATCACCATCAACTGTGAGAACTGGTATCCCGTTGAGTCTTTCGTTACATCTAATACTTGGTGTCATGCGGAAAATCTGACTGACTGCATCTTATGTATTATGGTTCATCAAATCCAGTTAACACGCGAGAATAACCAAATTTATATTTGCAGGAGAGAAAGGCGCTCATTTGCCAAATCCAAGCAAACAGTCGTACCTTTTAGGTAGAGACGAACCACCCGTGATAAAAGTATCTATAACATACGCTCAAACACTCCAGAGCCATCAACTACATGGACAATAAGGATCAAGCATTATTGAGTGTTTGCTGCATGTGTCGAATCACTTTGAGTATTACACGAGTATTATTTTTGGGATTCGACAAATGTCTCAAGCTTACATAAAATGACACGAGAATCTCTGTACATTAAAACGTCAAATGAAAAACTTCAGACCCATCACGAAAATCTTAAATTGCAAATTACTCTGAAAACTCCATTTACTGTCCTTGATTCTCGTTTTAGTGTTTCGCGTTGTATTTTCAGGTCATTGATATGCACGACATATTGCATTTCTTTTCATCATACTTTCCTATCTTACTTTTATGAATTAAATATTCATATTTCTTCTTTTATTGTTTTATTTTCTATAACGTTGAAACAAGGTTTTCGTGATTTGCTGAACAAAGTGAAAAAGCGTAGTGTAATCGGAACGATTTTGGGCAAAATCCATTAAAAGTTGCAAAATTGCAAAACCGTTATCATGTCCCTAATGGGCCACCGTAGAAATGTGCAAACCGCAACCCTTCCTTACCCCTATGTCCGTTCAGCTTGATACAGTGTGTCCCTCTGAAGAAGCCATACATGCAGTGCCTCTCTATCAGATGGAAGGTCTTTCGAGTATGGTTAAACGGGTCTTCGCAGTCACGGTTAGACCGATCCACAGACGTGCAGACATAGCAGTCAATAGCCAACACTGAAACAGACAAAAAACACATATTTAACGTCAGGGTTATTGATGTGCCTATTATTAGTTCCAAGTGTAGGGCGAGAGTAGCCTAGTGGTTCCAGCGTTAGCTCGTGGCGCCGAACGCCGGGTTTTATGCCAAATATTGGTACAAAGTAAATTTCGTTAAAATCAGATCCAAACAAAACATTTTCTCGTATGCGATATCGCCCCATGTGAAGACCTTCCTTAGAAGGTCGCGCCTGGATTTGTCAAATCTTCAGATAGGGAGATGATGCATGGAGTAAAAGATCTTATTTTGGGTAGATTGGGTTCAAGGCGGTAAAGGGTGATATGGCTGAAAACGGCGTGACACATACTCACTCTGTATATTGTTTTGTGGTGGTGTACACGGACAGGTAGTGTCTGCTCGTAAGTATAGCAGCGACTTTGTTAATGAGCGTAAATAGAGGTTGACGTTAACAAGGCTTTGTATAATCCTGCATTCCTTCATAATGTATTCCAAACAAAGATTTGAACCCCGGTCTATTTTCCGAAGTGCACGTTCACTTACCACTCGACTAATTAAAAATGTCATATAATTATATTTATCGTTATAAGACAGTAACAGTCCCCTAGAATGAAATTGGATATTTAACACCCTCTTAATTCGTTTTGTTTAACACCGCAGTTAGCAATGAGCTATATCATAGCAACCTGTATATATACGAGTCTGGGCCAAACAAACCAATGACTGATACTATGAGCAACGTTATGAAATCGCCGAGACTGACGGCCCGGTCTCAGTTTGTCGCCTGTTCGAATAGCAGTAGAGTGTTGGGGGCCTATTCTAATACAGATCCCCATGGGGTCTGTTTATTTAAACACACCAGCTGATATTTCAAACTGAACAAACGAGGATTTTATTTCTTCTGAATCCCTAGACATACAACATGCTATTTTCAATTAGCCCTTACACAAAGCTGGTAGTCAGAGGAAGCTGAGATATGCTAGGCATCCCCTACCCATCATGTTTTATAATGAGTGAGTATGTTCACTTGGCTTTATCTATGTCTTCTGGTAATGGGAATGAGCAGTCGAACATCGGAGACAGCATTTGAACACATACATAAAACCGTTCCACCGAGATCACGCTTAAATATTTAAACGCACATCGATCGCATCCAAAGAAAATTGCTAATAATAGTGTTTCAGAGCGCACAGAGTTCAGTTCTAACAATGCACCAACGTAACATGTCAGTTTATTGAGTAAAAGCTGGACATTGTTCATGTGCTTAATAACAGCCGTCGCAAAAGTCAACATCTTCTTTGAGGTATGTCTATAGAGCTATGGGGTAGTGACGTGAAATATCGAGCTGTATCTTCGTCAGCAGCGGTAAGACAATGGAGTCATTTCCTAAATATGTATTGCAAAGATGGTCATACAAAGAGAGTACAATACAGTTTTGTACATGTTGTTGGCAGCAACCGTTCTGTTCAGCAGCGATAGTACCATATCCTTGTGCTTAAAGCCTACACTCATCACGCCGAAGATTCCCAAAACGGATTTGTGAAGATTCCTTGTTGGTGTCCCCAGCTCCCATGATATGGCTGGAATATTTCTAAAAACATTTACACATTTCATTGATTTGAAGCTAAACTTTATTTTTATTGTTCGAAAAGCATTGTCACAACCTTTTAAACTTTTAGCCGTTTGTGACATCAAGAATACTTCGTCTACTAATCGTTAAGTTTGATTTGCCCGTCTCCTTCATCAAATAGTGAAAAAGATAACTACTACTGCATGAATCTTAGATACAATCTTATATTTTATAATGTCCTCCTGGATTTAGGATGTGAACATAATTCACGGACGGGTTTGATGCCTAACACTATTTCATACTCAAAAGTCATTGAACTGTAGAACAAACGTTAGATGCTTCACCATGTGTGTTCAATGAACTCGCTAGACTATACGTTAGATGCATTACTAGATATAGTACATGAAATCCCTAGAATATACGTTTGATACTTTATCATATGTGTCAAATAAACTCCCTAGAATACACGGCAGATGCTTTAGTATATATCGTAAATGAACTCCTTAGAGTATACATTAGCTACAGATATAGATGCCATCGATGTTCGTGGTAACTTCCATTATCCTATGTATACTAATCATATCGGCGCCCCTTCAAAATGTCTCATTTATATTATATACAATTAGACCACTGCAATATTTTTGTCATACAAAAAAAGTCATTTACGTGAATTGTGTCCGCTGTAGGCAGAACGATGCACATCTTTGAAAGATGAACTAAATTTGCATTGGGGGCCTATTACTTTTCTATGGCGCTGTAGGAAACGGCTTGTGGTAAATTGGTTGTATCATGTGTCCTCGTCAAGCCAGCCAACAGTGTTTTGTTATAAATGTGATTTGTTCTTCATGTGCTATCTTTGTTTTGTCCAATGATAAATTTCACATGTCATCTGACATTTTCAGCAATCAGTTTTCTTTCCGTACCATCTTCCTCTTCTTATCACATCCCGAATAACTGTGTAATATGATTACTCCTGTAATGATAAATTATTGATGACACAATTACGCAATAAAGTTTCAAATGACAAAAGAAATGTAGTTCTATTTAACTTTGATTCATGATCATTATGCTTCTTTCAAAGACTGTGAATATTTCCCTAAAGAGTACATGCATGTAACGTCTGATTAAATGACCAAGTAAGCTGGGGAAAGATTACTGAACGTTGAGCCACAAGCGGGACGTCTCGTTAATGAATTACCTTTAATAAAACATACATCAGTGTGGTAATTGCATTGCATTGGCTTCCTGCGGTCCAACATTATTTAAACCATCAGTGGATTACTATGTTTAAAACTCTTCATCTTTGATGCTGGTGATCGGCTCCAGGACGGGCTGCTCATCATTAATGATAGAGCGACAGATGGCGGCGATAAAATGAGACATCAGTGACGAGGGAATCCCGCAGTTCCTGGCACGGACATAGGTAATTACTTCATCAAAGACACCCACTCATGAAAATAGGGATGTTGACGAACCAATGACGCGGCTTTGATTTTGAATGCCTTGATAATGAAGTTGCCATCCTCTCAACATTCAGTGTCTATCACTCATCCGTATAGTATTTCTTACTATTCATACATCTATCACCTAGTCTCTTTCAACAATCCACCCTCCAAACATCTGTCTATCCATTCTACGACAATGCACCCACCCGTCTGTCATTATTTCATCTGTTCATCACACACACACGCACGCACACACACACGCACACGCACACACACACACCACCACCACCACCACCATCCCTTCACATCCATCACCACTTCATCCACTCATCATCACTATATGTATCCATCATGACGTCACATCCATCACCACTTCATCCACCCATCATCACTACATGTATCATCATCACTTCACAACCATCACCACTTCATCCACACATCATCACTACATGTATCTATCACCACTTCACATCCATCACCACTTCATCCACCCATCATCACTACATGTATCTATCACCACTTCACATCCATCACCACTTAATCCACCCATCATCACTACATGTATCTATCACCACTTCACATCCATCACCACCTCATCCACCCACCATCACTACATGTATCTATCACCACTTCACATCCATCACCACCTCATCCACCCATCATCACTACATGTATCTATCACCACTTCACATCCATCACCACTTCATCCACCCATCATCACTACATGTATCTATCACCACTTCACATCCATCACCACTTCATCCACCCACAATCACTACATGTATCTATCACCACTTCACATCCATCACCACTTCATCCACCCACCATCACTACATGTATCTATCATCACTTCACATCCATCACCACTTCATCCACCCATCATCACTACATGTATCTATCACCACTTCACATCCATCACCACTTCATCCACCCACCATCATTACATGTATCTATCACCACTTCACATCCATCACCACTTCATCCACCCATCATCACTACATGTGTCTATCACCACTTCACATCCATCACCACTTTATCCACCAATCATCACTACATGTATCATCACCACTTCACATCCATCACCACTTCATTCACCCATCATTACTACATGTATCTATCACCACTTCACAACCATCACCACTTCATCCACCCACCATCACTACATGTATCTATCACCACTTCACATCCATCACCACTTCATCCACCCATCATCACTTCATGTATCATCATCACTTCACATCCATCACCACTTCATCCACCAATCATCACTACATGTATCATCATCACTTCACATCCATCACCACTTCATCCACCCATCATCACTACATGTATCTATCACCACTTCACAACCATCACCACTTCATCCACCCACCATCACTACATGTATCTATCACCACTTCACATCCATCACCACTTCATCCACCCATCATCACTTCATGTATCATCATCACTTCACATCCATCACCACCTCATCCACCCACCATCACCACATGTATCTATCACCACTTCACAACCATCACCACTTCATCCACCCATCATCACTACATGTATCTATCACCACTTCAAATCCATCACCACTTCATCCACCCACCATCACTACATGTATCTATCACCACTTCACATCCATCACCACTTCATTCACCCATCATTACTACATGTTTCTATCACCACTTCACAACCATCACCACTTCATCCACCCATCATCACTTCATGTATCTATCACCACTTCACATCCATCACCACTTCATCCACCCATCATCACTACATGTATCATCATCACTTCACATCCATCACCACTTCATCCACCCATCATCACTACATGTATCATCATCACTTCACATCCATCACCACTTCATCCACCCATCATCACTACATGTATCATCATCACTTCACATCCATCACCACTTCATCCACCCATCATCACTTCATCAACCAGAAATCAACCCTCGTCATTCATCCATCTATCTATCCAGCTGTCCTTGAT